TGGGGAGCACTTCCACCAGCTCCCTCAGTACCCTTGGGTGGATCCCATCCAGCCCCATAGACTTGTGTGTGTCTAAATGGTGTAGCAGGTCACTGACCATTTCCCCTTGGATTATGGGGGCTTCATTCTGCTCCCCATCCCTGTCTTCCAGCTCAGGGGGCTGGGTACCCCGAGAACCACTGGTCTGACTATTAAAGACAGGCATCAAGTACCTCAGCCTTTTCCTCATCCTTTGTCACGGTTTCCCCCCGCGTCCAACAAAGGATGGAGATTCCCCTTAGCTCTCTTTTTGTTGTTAATGTATTTGTAAAAACATTTTTTATTGTCTTTTACCGCAATAGCCAGATTAAGTTCTAAATGGGCTTTGGCCCTTCTAATTTTCTCCCTGCATAACCTCCCAACATCCTTGTAGTCCTCCTGAGTTGCCTGCCCCTTCTTCCAAAGGTTATAAACTCTCCTATCATCGAATCATTCTAAAATCTCTGAACTTTTTCCAATTATCCATTAGCATTATCCAATTTACTAACCATTTTAGTGCCAGTTTTTACTACCAGCCAGCTTTAGTACTGTTCTTGGTACTGCAACACAAGACTCAATATTCCAGCACTGGCAAAAGAAGTGCCAAGTATACCAGTGGTAACACCCATCTATTCCTACCTGACTTTACTGTGTTTTTACAGATTAGTATTTTTGGCCACAGTATCATTCTGGGAGCTTATATACAGCTTATACACCACAGTGGCCCCAAGCCTTTTACATTTCCAGGGGCAGGTTCCAGCGTTCAGCCAACAGGGCAAGTCTGTTGTCTTGAGAAACAAAATCTGACATCTCCGTGTGTTCCAGCAGACATCTTGGCCAACCAGGTCAGTCTGTAACGTGGGCCTGGCTTACTCAGTGTATATGATTTCTTTAGTTCTCATTTCCTCTGAAACATTATTAATTTGCTTTCACAGGTCTGCCTCATCTCTTTGATCTCCCACTTGGGGATCCCAGATGTGAACAAATCCAAAGCTTCAAAGCCAATGCTAGAGTGACAGGAGGCTGGGCAAAGATGGGTTAATCTAAGTGGGAAGGCAATGAAGAAAGAGACTCCCAAGGCCACTGACCAGACTCATATTTCCTTTCGGAAAGGAAACTCTCTACATATCTGCATTCACTTCCAAGCTGCAAACAGAGCTCTCTGTCTCCCATGCAGGTGCAGCTGCCAGCCTTTCTTTTATGCTGCCAGCTTTGCCTTCATGTGCAGAGTCAAGGAGCTCTCACAAGCTGCCTGGTGCATTTGCCATGGCTGGGCGAAGAGCCAAGCACCAGCACTGTTCCTCACCATTGTCTTCTTTTGTTTTTTATTAGTGTCTGCAGTTTTTCAGTGTGGGCAGCATCACAGCACTTCCGAAAACCTGCCTAGCTACAACAACAAAAGGGCCTCAGCGCAAGTGAAAGCAACAGCAAGGCAGATACAGCAACAGCTCTGGAGGCTTATTAATAGTTTAGCCAGTCTCCCTCCTTACTTGCACAGCCTTTCTGCAATTTGTAATTGTTTGCCCCAGCAGACATGAAATTAAGGCCCTCCCTCCCTCCTTTTCTTTCTCTCTCTCTCTCTGAGATAAATGCATTATGTTAATGTAAGAACACATTATAATTTGGGAAGAATGCCTCAGTATGTTAGTCTGGTAATCATTATGAATGGCATTATTAAAGGCTTATACAGTAGCAAAACTTGCAATGTTGCTGAACTGTTGCATGGGCTTCATTTATAGCAGGCCTGCAGTCCAGTGGCACTGGCTTGTGTTTAAAGAGAAGTCCGAAAATGTTATGTGTCTCATTTGCCCGTGGGATGGGCGCAGGCATGTTTGTGCCACCCTCTCCATCCCGCCCTTCTCCAGCCACTCGAGCAGCACTCAGGTCTTCTGATACTGTTCTATACTGTCGTAGAGCTCCTGGGCAGTACACCTTTCCTGATACCCAGCATGTGTTTTACTCCAATGAATTCACACCCTTTCATCCATTTTATATGTCTATGCTCTTGTGGTCTCCTAGCAATCCTAGCTCCTGAAGACTTGAACTGTGCCCAGGAACTGGTCACCAAGTGAAGGTGCCCTGGGCAGCCTGATCTTCACTAATCCCACTGCCAGGTGCCTGGAGGAAAACACCAAGGATGCAGGGATAGGTGGCAGATGACTTCTGAGGCACAACAGGTTTCAGGAAATTTTATAAAAGGACAATATGGAGAGTAATTTTAATGCAAGGCAAGGTCTTACCCACAGAGCAAACCCTTCAGGTATGCCTAATTACCATAATTGCATATTAAGTCTTTCATCTTAGCACAAGCTGCTGTGCACCCTGTAAAAATCACCTGGACATGTTTTAGCACTTTCCAAGAGACTCTGTAGGTTGCTTTTGATGTTGGTAAACTGCTACTATTGGAGGAACCTTCCAACTTGATATTTGAGAACAGAAAAATAAACTGCTTTATAATAGAGTCACCAAGATTAATGGGATGTAACCACTGATCATGACAAGAGTCCATCTCTAATACTAGGGAAATAGTCACTGTAGTTCTAAAGCAGTTTAATCTCCATTGATCACAGAATGACGCAGGTTGGAAGGGACCTCTGGAGCTCATCTGGTCCAACCCCCTGCTCAGGCAGGGCCACCTAGAGCCAGCTGCCCAGGACCATGTTCAGGCAGCTTTTGAATATCACCGAGGATGGAGACTCCACAACCAGTGCTCAGTCACCCTCAGAGTGAAAAAGTGTTTCCTGATGTTCGCGGGAACCTCCTGTGGTTCAGTTTGTGCCCATTGCCTCCAGTCCTGTCACTGGGCACCACTGAGAAGAGCCTGGCTCCATCTTCTCTGTACCCTCCCTT